ATAAAATGTAAATAGTTAAATTTTATTGTACTTTGGAAAATTGGGCTAAATAAATTAATAAATAAAAAAAATAATGAGGAAAATACTGGATTTAAATTCCCTATGAGAACAATAGAAAACGAGGCGATATGATATTACTTAATTATTATCTAATTGATATACACATATTTACAAGAAAAAATCCACCTTTTCTTAGCCTGTATATCGTTTTCCAGGGATATGTACAGGGTGTATAAAAAACAGATTAAGCATAAAATATTTTAGGACCCTGGGAATTGAAAACGAATTGCTAATAGACCCAGGGCATTTTTTAAGAATTCGTCAGTGGGGGGGGCATCTACAAAAAGGGACCTTACTATACCCAGTGTGGAGCAATGATAGATGGTTTGTTGGTAACAAAACGTTTGGTGTGGTATCGCATTTAATAGTAGGGGGGGGGGAAAGCAGGGACGTAGGAAGCTCTTTTCGTTTGGGGCGGCTGAAAGCGAGGGCCGAAGGCCAGAGGAAATTTTTAAATTTAGAGTCTCTGAAATGCCATTTCCTGGACTTTGGGGAAGATTTGACAGATTTCGGATTGTCAGAAAACAGCGTTTTTAGTATGTGGAAATTTAGAATTCAGTATAACTAAATGGACGAAGGTGTATTTAATTAACGATATATTGGATAAGTTGCAAGAAAGTATGGGTAATATCATCATTCTTTGCAGTTTGTCATGGATTAAATAATAAAGGTCTGCATGATTTTGAAAAATGGATGACCCTACGACCCTGGAGAGTGTCTGGGGTTTTCTCCCCCAGCAAATTTTTGTATTTTTCTACCCCTATCACTGCAATTCCCTGCATTTTCTGAAACAGATTTTTGGATATACAGCATTACATTATGCTGTAGATAGACTGACCTTCAGTTAAGTACAGTACTTGCATAGTATGTTTATGTAGATACCACAACTTGGCCGTCACTTAGGGAGCCAGCTTGATAAACTTAGAGTTCCCGACTCCCACCACAGTTTATAGACTAAGAACTGTGTTGGCACAGAGCGGAAAAATTTTGCGTCTCTAAATCATCGGAAATGGCATTTTCAAAGTCTTCTATACGTCTTTTGTTTGGCCCTTTCATTAATTCGTTCATTATGATTTGTGAGTCTATGATGATCCGCGAGTCAGGATGGATTATTACGAGAAATGTTATCAAAATATCGATTACAGATATTTGATTATATGTATATATGATTTCAAATACTTCTAGTTTCGAAATCAAATTGTTGTTTTTTTTTGTGGGGGCCAAAATTATCCCCCCCCCCTTATACTAAAACACTTGGTTGAGGGCCTGCAGTCACTAACTTGTCCAACAACTCAAATCTATAGGGTCTGGGTAATGCAATCCACTGCCTGGGAAATGTTTAAAATCTAATAAGGTATTTATTAAACATAAAAGACAGGACATAAGATTCACAAAGCAAATTTCAGTTACTAGAATATCAAACCTACCTTCTAAATTCCATGTTTTGCTTATATTTTAGAGAAAAGGGACTTTGACTGGGGGGGGGGCAAAATGGTTGAGTGGAGGGCCACCATGGGGGCTGGAGGGGCTTTGGCCCCCCCAGTTATATAGTTAAAAAATGCCCTGAATAGACCATATTAGCCTACATCTGCCACAAGGCCCTTGATAATTTAACTGTTGTTGTACTGTACTTGTAAAATTAAAACTTATTAAGTGTCATTAAAAAAATGCATAAATTTTGCTTTATGCACTCGCGTGTGCAGTAATTTTGACAGTTGTGCTATTTTAAATTCCCAGGGACCTAAAATCTTTTGTCCTTAAAACAATGTCGATTTCTTGGGAAATTCCGAGGTTGCCTTTTTTTATACACCCTGTATAGTGCAAGGTGTATGTCAGCAGGTGACAGGTTAACGTATAAACTACTATTTATATACTGACAGGTTAACATATAAAACACCAGAAAATCAGGGGCGGCACTATATAGCCCTATTTTGTTGGGGGGGGGGGGATGTGAACCGACTCATTAATCAAGTAAATATGCATGTATATCCTTCAAATGGAACAACATCAACAACAACCAAATTATATAATGAATTTATATTTCCCGCATGGGTGTTTTTGCAGACATGCTGACATGGGCTAGTTCCTCGGGTAGAGGAGAACTGATCACGTGATCGGCTAGTTGTGTTGTTTGTGGCGTCAGATATAACCCAATCCCTATCTCTAAGCCTAATCCTTAATCTAACCCTTACCCTAACCCCAACACTAATCACAATAACTAACTGATGACGTAATCTGTGATGCTAATTCTTCTACCCGAGTAAGTACCCCTGACAGGCTGCTTTTCTTTTCCATAATCAAAAGTCTTAATAGATTTTGCTGTATAACTACGATTAGAATTTTGGTTCGTTCCTTCCATTTCACGTTTTGCTGACTGGGAAACAATTTGCCGATTGACTGACGATTGTTTCACCCTCTAACGCCGCCCCCCCCCCTTCCCCCTCTAGCGCAGCGCCTGCCAGAAATAAGTAAGTACATAGCAATTTTAGAAGCAATTTTATTCTGCAAAGGTTGTAAAGAAATCCTTTACCAGCTCCCAACTTCACGAAATATAAGATGCGCAACATGAAACACGCTCGGAATATTAACAATATATCATACAAAATCAAGATTCGAGCTATTTAAACAAAATTCAAGGTAATATGTGGACTCTATATTACAAAGCTATTGTCAGCACGCTTGTAATAATTAACTAGAAATACATTCATGCAGCAACCCCTCGCCTAAATTTTCCAAACATTGAAGAATTAACATGAAATATTCGGAAACGGCCAACACTAAACGCAGGCTCGCGTTCAAGTGTAGCCATGACAAGCAGCGTTGCCAATTCCGGAATTTTATCCCGAGAAGGCCGTGATCTCGGGATTTTTTGAAGCAGTTGGGATTTTTTTTTATTTTTATTTAAAAAAGTCAATCAATCTCGGGATTTTCTTGGGATTTTTGAGAAAGGTAAGTTCGAACTTTATAAATCGAATTTTTGGTAAAATTGATTATTAAACAATTTTGCTAGATTCCAGGGTTCGTCACCTCGTATTTAATTAAACCCTGTTGAGCTGCATATTTGATGTCAGATTTCGTTTTTAGAGCATGACGTACGAAGCCATCCTACCCGAAATTGATGCGAAAACCACCTAAATTATAGGAAAACAGTTCACCCCACTCAATCCGCCATATTTTTTAGATCAGTGAGGAATATCGCCCACACCACAGATTAAGTATATACCAGATGTGCAGCTTAATTAATAGGACTTTGTGTCCTCATATTTCCCTAGATGTTCACGTCATGCTCACGCCATGACACTTGCTAGCAAAATGCCGACCTGAAAAACACGAACTTTTGCATTTTATTGCGGCCTTTTTGGAGCATCATTTGGAGCCTTTGAGCATCATTTGTTGAACGTTTAAAGTTGCTGAAAGCAATTAAAGTTGTAGAAAAGGTGTTAAAAGCATTTCTGAAAGCAGGACGTATTACCAAATGACGGATAATCACGCGAGCGACACTTGCTAGGAGGATAGCGACCATGGGACAACGTTTTTATTATTTAACATCTGTTCATATACGGAATCTATGCGCATACACCATGACCGCAAAAATAAGAATATACCAGATGTGTAACTTACTAACTTCATAGGACTTCATGTCCTCAAATTTCCCTATAGATGTACATGTACACGTCACATTTGGGCCGAAAGTGGTGTATTTTTCTGCGTCCGTAATACAAATTAATACAAAATTTGCCAATTTCGGAGGGCTATATTTTCCTCGTTTTACAAAATTTCGCAACCAAACTTTGCACTTTTACCATGGATAATAAAATAAATGGATAGGACACTAGCTGACGTCACAGTCTAAACCTAGTTGCAATCTGTGACGTCACGCGTATTGCCAAAGTTCTCGGCATTTTTGTTGTTTCGCTATATTTCCGCTTTAAAAGAGTAATATTGAAGCATAAACTGGTCTAATTGTTTTAAAAACATGCCATAAGCCACGACAAAGTATTCAAAGTAAATGTTTTTCGTCTTTGTCTTGTATTTTTTTACATTTGTAGCTAAGAAATGGGCGTCACCAATTTTAACGAAATTTGGGATGCACTTTTCACTGTTTAGTGCTTGAAATATTTGCAACATTGACTGAAGATACTTAGAGTTTTCATCGTAGAATGGCGTAGTTATATTTATTTGCTCTCCGACTAAAATGTTCTGCTGTATTATTGCTAACCTGAGTATCAGGCTCTATTTTACAAATAGAGCCTGACACAAAACTTAACCTGATAGCTTTCCGCCCACAGCAAAGTTTATATTTAGTATCCAATCAAAATGTCGCAGGAGAAATTTAAATTTCACACAACGACAACAACAATCTAATTATAGCATAGGCAGCCCACTAAACGGCTGAATTTAAATTAAAACTGCAATGAATAATGAAATAATCACAAATTAGCGAAATATATTGCAAATGTAGCTTATATTAAATCGCCACCCGATTGCCCTCTCCTCCGCAGAGGTTTCAGTGACTACAATGAGCTTTACATGGCGCTTGCCGTATTTATCAACAAACTGACGTATAATTATAAAGTATACTTTATAACTATACGTCAGTCGATAGTGCAATCTGATGGCGATTTAATATAAGCTACATTTGCAATATATTTCGCTAATTTGCAATTATTTTCTAATTTTACTGCAGTTTTAATTTAAATTCAGCCGTTTAGTGGGCCGGCTATAATTGTAGTTGTGAATTGTGATCGTTATAAAATATATCAACAACAATAGTATAATCTAATTAGCACCAGCCAATCAAATGACAGATTTAAAAATCGTTTGTCTAATCGGTCAATCAGCGCTCAGTCCAGATTCTGGACTGAACAACCAGGCAAAATGCCACTTTTGTGTCAGGCCGTACTTTTCTCCCCTTCGCCCACGATCAGGCGTGCCTGTGCCCTAAAAAGTACGGCCTGATACTCAGGTTATATTATTACTAAACATGCGTTTTTGAGAATTAGGTTTGCAACTAGGTTTCCTATCCATTTATTTTATTATTCATGCTTTACTAATTTTATCATGCTCTTTCTAGCAATTTTGAAAGCAAGACGTACTACCAAATGACGAACTATCACGCAAGCGACACTTGCTAGGAAGATGGCGACCGTGGGCCGAATTAGCTGGGCGGAATTAGTGCACTCCCCCCGGGTAACATTTTGTAAACTCAAGATTCGAGCTATTTAAACAAGACAACAAATTCAAGGCAATATTTCTGCTCTATATTACAAAGCCATTGTCAACACGCTTGTAATATATTAGTTTTGTTTGTGGAAACACCACGTAAATTTATTACTGTAACTACCTGAGCGAATGCCCTTCCTCTGGAGTTAGTAGCAAAGAAGTTAAGCCCGGATCAAACTATGATAACAAACTGCGCGATTGCCAAACTCTCATCAATTCTCATCCGTGTTTGACCTAGGTTTGACAATGACTTTCGAATAAAGTCGGAATATTACATTGAATTTTGTTGTCTTGTTTAAATGGCTCGAATCATAAGTTTACAAGGTGTTAATATTCGCGGAGTGTGCGGTTTCATCTTATAATATGTATAAAGAAAATTACTTAAGCTTTCAATGATGGTGGTATTACACATTGACCCGCTGTTCGATGAGAAAAACATCTAGCGGCATTTTGTGAGCCCAGCGTTATGAAATCTATTGCATTGTCAAATGTAGATCCTCCCAGATAAAGCCTGTAGTCAGCATTTTGCAAGAGAAAGAAATCGAGAAACATTGATAAATGTCCTGCATCTTCATTTCCTTTAGTTGGATGTCCAACATGTTCAATAGGACCAGTAATGCTTCTCACTTTATCGCCATATTTCTGTTTCGCACGAATTTTCATCTTTTCAGAATCAGCAGCCAAGAACCAAACTATCTTATCGGTTTTATACTTCTTCTCAATTTCCTTCTGGATTTGCAAGGCACAATCAAAACTTAAATCAAAATGTCTCGTGTCTTGAAATCTGTTATCTTGCTTATTGTGGTTGAACACCGAATCTCCTTGACGAATATGTATACCTATAACAATATTTTGGTTGAAACCTAATTTTTCTTTCCATTCATCCAAACGTTTCTGCAACAAATCAGATTTCTTAAACAAGTAATAGAAGCTACATCCCATCATCTGACGAAGATTAGGCCAAACAGGTAAGTCATACTTTAAAAGACTTGCAAAAAATGGGTATTTATTTCCAACCATTCCAGGGTCATATTCCATTGAGTAGTTTAGCATTTGTTCGTATATTTTTGGATCGGAAGGGTTTTCTATATCATTTAGTTTAACTTGGTATCGACGTCTAACAGTTAATTGTGTTTCATTCACTTTGTAGTTCCATTTTATGTATCGAGGTGCTAAAAACCTATCCAATGGTGAAGGATTGTTGCAATTTATAATGAATGCTCGCTTTGCGACAACTGCAAAATGAAATGCGGTTAATAGATCTCTGAGTCGATTTCCCCAGCCCCCTCTCGAACAACTGTATATATTAAACTTATTCTTGTTCGTTTCTATCAAATGCTGATGAAGCTTAGTGTAATCTTCTTGCCATAAATTCTTGCACAAATCCGTGTGGCCTTTTTCATAATCAGTTGCATTTCTTGGCCTACTTTCTATCCTTTTGGTGCTCGTCAAGCTGTAAACATTTTCATTAAGTCTTTTGTTTCCATTTTCCGGGACATTTTCAATCGTCACATACACTGGCTTTGGTAACCTGAACTTGGTAGAATTCTTATCTAATTTCAGGAAGTAATTATTCTCAATTATACCTAAACCAAGAAAAAATCAGACTGGTTACGTCCGATTTTAAATAACTTATCCCTAAATGTTGCAAAATTCGTTCAGAACTTCTTTGCGAAGTTCAAAAGTTCATATTGAAATTCCCAAGCTGATTTGTAAACAATGCTTCACTGGTCCCTGAAATGGATTATGAAATAACCCAAATACCCAATCAAATACATGCATTGTTTGCAAACAAGCTATAGTATCGCAACGAAGTTGGTATGAAGTTTGCATGCAAACATTTAGGGAATATGATAACCCTTTTAGGATGAAAATGTGAAGTTTAACTCAAATTTTGGTCCTGCGTTAATATGTTCAGGAATATTTCCCGCATACTCTTGTTTGACACATACTTCGTGAAAGTGTGTCATCTTGCCTGGCAAGTCTTGTCTTCGCTATTTAGCCCTAAAGTTGTGAAAAATACCATGCTAACATCATGTGCCGATTGGAACTTAATTCAAATTATATTAAACACAAAGACAGTTGTGTTTGATGTATTAGAGAGTTTAAGTTCGACTTCCGATACTAAGAATAGGTCATGCGCATGCGCTGTGATCGCAGGAATCACGAGGACAAGTGTGTTGGAAGTCACCACGTACCGAAGTCGGCCTTGTTTTGGAAGTCGTGGGAATTGTAAGATAAACTCATATAAATAGGATATTTCATATATCTTTCGACAAACACGTATACTACTTGTTTATTAGCATCACCTGAGTCATGTTTTAGTCGGAATTTTAGCTCAGCCGCCGTTTTTACCGCACATTTTCGGTGACGATTAATGTGTTCTACACTTTATCTGTCGTGATAACTTAACGCTTTAAAATTCCCGATACCAAAATGAGAATGGAAGTGAAGACATTGATATCGGTATTGGAATCGGAATTAGAACTTAAACTCTCTAATCGCTTCGTGACGACGCAACGTCGATTCAAACGGCGAATAGATCATCTGACGCATTTGGACGAGAAACGATACCATTGTATCATACATGCATCCAAAAATTGGGCTCGACTTACTAACGCGAATACTGTGGATTCTGTACATGCATGATAAACTCGCGACGTTTTAAACACACTCAGAAGACGTCAACTGTAAACTATGCTAAGGCTTAGTAATAATCTAGCCTTAATTAATAATAATCGTTTCTCGACTAGGTGATAATTCCAATAAACGAACCCTAATTGACTCTCTTGATGACATATTCTCATCGACATTCTCACCGGACACCGGCTAAATCTTACCTGATTTAAACGCGATAAATCCATTCAACGCCAGAATGTACAGAATCATAAAGAAAACCAAGAATGCCAGTAAAGCCGTCAATAATCTAATTGACATGATTTTGAAACTACATTGAAACCAAATGAAAGGATGTAACGAGACCACAGTTTCATATATTATATATACTGTACGCTCTGTAAGATCTAAAAGCATATTTTATCATATAACATTTGGAATAACACTATACAATATACTTTTAATTAATAATCTCAGAGTACTGTCTTTAAGACTATAGAAGAGCCAACGTTTATCATGACAAGTAAAAGAACAATTATACACTAATAACTAATATGAAACGGTCAAGTCGAACGTTACTTTGCTTTGAAAATTATGACGTAGGCACATGCACTTAAAACTGCGACACGCCAAGAAGATTCAACTACCTAAAATTAATACAATATACTTAAAGACAAAATACTTTGTCGTTTCTAGCGAAGGCCCTTCGTTTCAAAACTAATGTGTTTCACCTTTCAAAACTGATAGTTTTTGTTAAGTCAATGGCAGTGTCACGTAAAAATGCATAAATATATTTCAGCCTTGCATGCACGCAATGTTCGATAGTACAGCCAGCTGGGCACTGCATGGTATATATATATATATATATATATATATATATATATATATATATATATATATATATATATATATATATATATATATATATATATATATATATATATATATATATATATATATATATATATATATGTATAGTAATATATATGCATATATATATATATATATATATATATATATATATATATATATATATATATATATATATATATATATATATATATATATATATATATAAAACAAAACAATTGGAGTTCTCCATGATAATCCTGGTCAGGCTGTGTTACTGTCAAGAGTGCATGAGCAAAACAATTAGGAGACAAGAAAGTGGAAACTACCTAATTTGTTTGGAAGTATGGTTGTCACCAACCGAGTTCTTCCATTGGGTGTTTCATCAGCACGCGGAAAGACCTCCTAACCCAACAATGTAACTTCAGTATAATTACACTGCATCACTACCACGAGTTTTATATGCTTTAGTAAGGGAGCGGTCATAAAGTAAGTGCTACCCCGGGGCGGAGGATATTGGGATGGGGTTTGAAATTTTTTTCAGGGATCTGGATGGGGTATGAAATAAATTTATCACTTTAAAAAGGGTTATGAAACAAAATTTGTTTGTTTCAATACAAAAATTGTGTTAATACAGTTTAATATTACGGCTCCGTTCATGGTCCAAATAATTTTTCATACATCACTGCCATGCATCATTGTCTCATAAAAGACTTGACCGTTGCTCAAGTAGTCTCCCTTGCAGTTGCTCTTTGTGTTGTGATTTTATTCCTCTTCATGAGCTTGTGTGGAGGAGTACATGATGACACAAATATTATTCAAAGAATGGCTGTAAGAGAGACTATTGTACCGTATATTTAATACACAGTGTAATAATTTTAAACCCTATTTGTACCGGGGGTGCGCACAATGAGAGCACCCAAATAAATATTTATCCGTCATCCCTGAACAAATGAACCCATATTTGCTTTTCTGAAAATTCAAAGTTATCCGGACGTTTGACGACATTTGTCAAACAAGGTGTCGGGGCCAAAAATGGGAAAATGTGGGTTGGACAGTATTTTTTGGCTGAATCACTTCCAAAGACATAAGTAACATAATATAATTAGAGAACATATAAAGATGGATTATTACACATAATTTGCAAAGTAAAATATCCATAATATGATATAAAATAGTAAAATATAGTATAATATATAATATAGTTATAGTATATTATAAAATATTTATATAATATAAAATATTAATTTATAATATTTTTATATATACACATAAACATATTTCTTTGTACCTTCAAGGTTGAGCAAACACCAAACATTTAGGAACCATAATTTATTATATATACGGCAAGCATTTGTTTTGATGAATCGCGCAATTTGATTGGCTGCTGACAAGGCAGGATTTTCCCAGTGAACTCTAATAATTATCAATTATTCGCCGAAGGCGAGGTGATTATCGGTGAATAAAAACCGAGACGAAGTCGAGGTTTTTATTCACGATAATCACCGAGCCTGAGGTGAATAATTGTTTTAGTATAATTTCATAGGTGATTATATGGAAAAAATATAAAAATACACATTTCTTCGTCATTTAATTGACAAAAAGGCTTCGGCCGCCATTTTGAAAATCGCTTAGGTGATTATCGCGTAATAATCACCTCAATGGCAACCAATCAGCGTGGAGAATTTTCAATAATCACCTGTGTAATTATACTAATAACTGTTATTATTAGAGTTCACTAGTGATGGGCGATACCAACAGTATCGGTTTCGATACGATACCGATTACTTTTTGGTTAAAGTATCGAGGTATCGATTACCCAAACGATTACTTCCTCCATTTTTCAAAATAATAAATGTAAGTCACTTAATAAAGAGCCGACTGTTAAAGAAGTAGCCTTCTACTGTAATAGTAACGATATATTTTCAGAAAGTTACATATTTTTAACAGTAACGATTTGATCCGCCATTTTAATCCACAAAAAAACAGAAACTACTTTATTTCCCGCCTTTTTCATAATTTATTCTGTCGGCGAGGATAGAATTAGCCTGCGAAAACAGCCTCTACTTTGCTGCTCCTATTAATATAATAGGAGCAGCAAAGTAGAGGCTGTTTTCGCAGGCTAGGATAGAATGTCAAATAAAGTATATTAAAAGGAAGTTTGATTAAATTGATAAATGCAGCAAAATACAAAAAAGTACATAAATTTTATTAGAAATAACTATGAAAACGATGACACAACTACAGGATTATAATGAATGTCTAATTTTAAAAGTAATCGAAACACTTTTTCGATACCGTGCAGTATCGACTACTTCCTGTTTGGGCCTGGTATCGGGTGGTATCGATACCAAGTAGTCGGTAATCGCCCATCACTAGAGTTCAATGGATTTTCCCGTATTGCCCACGGGCAATACGCAATTTTTTTGCCCCGCGACAAGAGCCGAGTTTCAAACGGCAAGAAGTGTCTAAAAGTCTTTCAAAACTATTCAAAACGAAGAAAAATAAACCTAAACTAAAGAAAAGGAGCACCTTCTTTGGATAAAGAACTTTCTCAATATGTTTTTGTTAGCGAAAGTCGAAATTACAAGGTAAATTTTACAATGTTTATAACTATTAAAGAAGTCAGGAATAGCTGTGTTTTGACTTTGTGAGGAGCTGCAAATCTTATTTGCAGATAGCCGAGGAATTTGACACCATCCTAAATAAAAAATACAACTAAAGCAGCCACAGATTTATATTTTTTCCCTGAAAATTTCTGGGTTTTTTCGATAAAAAAAGATATATTTATGAGATGAAGCGAACTAAAACCGTACTTGTCCATACTGTTTATTTATTTTATTGTTTTCATATTTGTTGTCTTTGTCTTTGATTAAATGACGAAATACCTCGTATTTTTCTTGAAATACTATCCAACTGTACGGTGGCCCATACGGGCCAACCCTTCTCCGTACAAACTTGCACCTTTTCCGTACAAATGTGTTGTTATTCCATGAAAATCAAACTTCTCCGTGGAATATTGCCGTTGTCACAGAGTATACAGAGGCGGAACTCGCGGCGATTCCTTTGTTCTTTGTGTCCCCGTGCAACGTCATTTTCACGCGCCACGCAAATTGCTCTGGCAAGTGTCATTCGTCGTGTTTTCAGTCAAAAGCATAGGAAAAACACCGTTCGAAAGTAGAAAAATAAATATTTTTGCGAAGTTACTCAACCGATCTTCATTTTGGGACTCAAATTTAAAAATAAATGGTAAGTGGTTATTTTTATGTAAAAAGATATACGTTTATAGGCTAAATACAAAGAAAAAATAGTATAATACAAATTACAATCTCGGTGCTTGTGATGTTTATATTGCCAAGAAGCAGATTCCCATTTCGCTAAATTAATGCGGGCCAAACGTATTGCTTTCCTGTCTTTTACATTAATAAGAAAGCATAGGTGCTGATTTGAAACACGGGTGAAATGCAATGAAATAGGCATCAGAATCTTCAGCACAGCTGCCAATTGAAAGTGGTGTCAAAATATTATCTACAAATAATATGCAAAATGCTCTGGTGAACTGGATGGGACTAATTGGTTGTCACAATCCCCCCCCCCCTCCCCCCTGCTGCCTAATGAGGCCAAATAAGTTCTCCAGAGAATCTTGGTTGAGACATCTTGTCGTGAGAAACTCCAAGGAATGATGTTGGGTTAAGGTCTTGAAATGTAAATACTACAGTGTAATTACTACTGACAGTGTAAATACTACTGACAGTGTAAATACTACTGACAGTGTAAATACTACAACAGTGAAATGTAAATACAACAGTGTAATTGGGGTTTAAAAATACAAAGTTTATTTTAATAAATGTTGTTTATTTTATTTCATATTTATATACATTTAAGAACTTAAATTATTCAAAAACTAAATAAATTAAATATGTGTTCAATGTCAATGAATATTGCTATATTCTAAATTTTTTATTCCAAAATAGGCAATAACTGTTTCCTTTATAGTTGACCCCACATGTTGTCATGAAAATTAATACTAAATAAAAAGTAGCCAATGATCCATGTTTCCTCTTGCAGTCTTTGCTTTATATGAAAAATTAAATACTATGAATAATTGCATTGTTCCTTTTATTGATAAAGAGTTTCCCATTAAAAGAGAAAGTCTTCCCAATTAATACTTTGCCTGTTAAAGTGTGCTCACCCCTTGACGAGTAAAATCGTCTGGCATTAGACAGAGTAAAATAAACTATATTCATATCCTACTATAGCAACTGCCATGCAAGTGTTTGCATGGAAAGTTTTGAACTTGTCTTGCCTAGTGGGATGATCCAGGTAGTAAGGTCACTCCATCAGGGGGTACAGCATCTCTATTACTCAAGATTAATTATATAAACATTGCCTGAGGCTATGTAAAATTGGTAGGCATTCCAATATAAGATCAAATAGTCTCAGGTTTTTCCCAATCAGGAGAACAAATTAACATAGTAAATGTTGTAAGAATCTGCATCTGATTCATTGTAATGAACAATGTAGTTCAGCAGGAATGATTGGCAATCTAGAAAAGCAAAATAAAAAATAAACAGATTAGATTATTAAACATGTACAGACTTGGCATGTTTGAGAAATTATTGACCTTTGAGAGCCAAAAAAAGGTTGTCATTGCACAATAACCAATGCACTAATCTAGGGGAATCACTATAAAGTATAGTTTGACCAATCCCTCACCATTGGGTCAACATATAAGTTAAATAAAGTCTATATGAGAACTTTAGAGTACTGTGGCTCCATGTCCAAGTCCATCAGTCCATGTGGAATGTTGATGTTCATATTTTTCGTATCTGAATGCTGTTTATGCAATGTTTAAATTAACGACAACCCTTTCATACAACATTGCACTTTACAAAAATATATTGATAATTTCATATATATGAGCTAGAGAAAAAAAACTCACATATTAAGTTGCCAAGTTCCAGCTGGAGTTCAGGTCTACAGAATCGAATCTTCAGATTGCCAGAAATTCTCACTCCTTCGGGTGTCTTTTCTCATTTTCGCCGTTAAAAATGGTATTCGTTCAATTCCCTTTCGCTAAGAAGACGCAGTGTGCCATTTATTTGCAAAATTCGTGCAGAAAATGAAGATTGATCGGTTACTGCGCTTAAAATCGCCGTTTTACTGCCAAAATTTTGCATTTCCCTATCTTTTTCCTGATAAAAAATGTGCATGACACTTGCCAGAGGGTTGCGCATGCGCATTAAAAAAGTGGGGACATGATTTGCCTCGAGTTCCGCCTCTGTATATCCTTACTCTGTGCCGTTGTTCTGTCACGGAAAGCCTCTTCTTCGTACGTACAAATATGCAGTTTCTCCGTGGAAACACGCATCTTCACCGTGGAAACACCGCAGCTTCTTCGCGGAAACGCGTAGCATTTGTGTGAAACACGATGCGGTGGCCCGAACGGGGCACCTCTTCTCCGCAGAAACATGCAGCTTCTCCGTACAAACACGTGCCTTCTCCGTAGAAACACGTGCCTTCTCCGTGGATGAGCACTTTTCTTGTGAATTAAAAAAGGCACGCCCCCCTGAATATTTATTGGTTTTATACGACGGGGGGGGGGGAAGAGAAAATAAAATCACAACGCAACATCGTGGTCAAAACATTACAAGCCAATTTTATAAATATGAATGCTTTAATCATATTTCTTTTTGTTTCCCTGTGCTTCAAATACTTGTTGTGCTTTTTATAGTCTTAATATGGGCACAGATATCCAGCATATAAATTGTGAGAATTGCCAGGAGATTTTGATCGTTTATAGCTTTTGTAGAGTTGATACTCGTAAGTATACATACTAAGTTTTACTTTTTTATATTTATGTTTAATATCATTTTTATTTGTGGATTTATACTTTTATAAATTGAGTGGATATACAAATACCTACACTAGCAGATCCGTATACGAGACTGACTGACAGATTAATATGGTGTATATTTAAATATTCAATTTATAAAAGTATAAATCCACAAATAAAAATGATATTAAACATAAATATAAAAAAGTAAAACTTAGTATGTATACTTACCAGTATATCAACTCTATTTCCACAATTGTTACAAAAGCTATAAACGATCAAAATCTCTGCATCTGTGCCCATATTAAAGCATTCATATTTATAAAATTGGCTTGTAATGTTTTGACCACGATGTTGCGTTGTGATTTTATTTTCTCTCCCCCCCCCCGTCGTATAAAACCAATAAATATTCAGGGGGGCGTGCCTTTTTTAATTCACAAGGAAAGTGCTCATCCACGGAGAAGGCACGTGTTTCTACGGAGAAGGCACGTGTTTGTACGGAGAAGCTGCATGTTTCTGCGAAGAAGAGGTGCCCCGTTCGGGCCACCGCATCGTGTTTCACACAAATGCTACGCGTTTCCGCGGAGAAGCTGCGGTGTTTCCACAGAAATGCTGCGTGTTTCCACGGTGAAGATGCGTGTTTCCACGGAGAAACTGCATATTTGTACGGAGAAGAGGCTTTCCGTGACAGAACAACGGCAATATTCCACGGAGAAGTTTGATTTTCATGGAATAACAACACATTTGTACGGAGAAGGTGCAAGTTTGTACGGAGAAGGTGCAACTTTGTACGGAGAAGGGTTGGCCCGTATGGGCCACCGTACAACTGTGTTAGTATTCTACTTATAAAAATTGCTGTAGAGTAGTTTTACTAACCAAGCTTGAGAACATTTTTTACAAATATTCTTTTTTGCAAATGTTTCGGACTTTGTACTTTGCCCTCGCGTGACCTTTTTTACCCATTTTTTTACAAACGTACAATGCCATATAATAAAAAACTTACTGACCTCAACCGTTCGGGCAGTACGGGAAAATATCCAACCTCGGTCTTGCTGTATTGACCTCGTTATCGCGCGGTCAATACAGCAAGACTTCGGTTGGATATTTTCCCGTACTGCCCTCACTCTCGGTCAGTAAGTTATTGATATTGCAGAATATGAAACCAATTCAGTATAAATATTGTGTTTTCAAAACTATACTACTGTGGCCGGTTGTATCAAGCCCGTTCAGCTTAAACGGTGGTTAAGCTCAAAATAGAAAGCAAGTCTATAGATTCATTAAACAACCAAACTAAAAGTTTTGAACCTTAATAGAACGATAATGTTTACAACTATATATTCAGTGCAGAATATTTAAGTTGACTGATTCACGAAAAATATAAGAGTGTTATTTAATTTTGACTTATCCACCGTTTAGGCTAAACTAGGCCGTATTCTGTGACCCCAAAAGTCGCTTAGAAAACAAGTTTCGTTGCCCCCATTCGGGGAATACTTTTAGTTTACATAAATCTATAGATTTTGATACGCTGAGTATGAATTCAGTTAGTGTTGTAACTCGCACAGACCTGCAGTTTTTATGTATTTTACGATCAAACACAGTGCTCTCACAATCAAATTTTCGAATTCCTTAGAAAAAACTCGAAAATTCCTCAGATTTCCTTAAAATTCCTTAAATTGGCTTTTCCCCCTTTTTTCTGTTTTTCTTTTTTTATAACCTTGTTTCTAAGCACTAAAAATTGAAAACATTTGATTGTTAACATAATGCCACAAAGAAAACATTCAACATGATGTATTTGTGATCGTTGCTGCACGAAGAGCTTAAAAAATCTGTAGATTTCAGAAGAAACAGCATTTACTGACATTTAAATTTTGAGAATTTTAATGAAAAGACCAGTGGCGGACACTTTACGAAATATCGGGAAGGGGGGGCTCGTGCCAAAGGCACAGAAAAAATTTAAAATTTGAATCCCGGAAATGGCATTTGCAGCGTTCTGAGAACACATTTTGTAAAAAACTAGGGTTTCAAAACACTGTTTTAATGGCGCGTTTTGTTATAAATCACATGCCAAGCCATGTACAGAAACATATACTATTATATTATGATAACAATTACGTTATATGAGTGTGATTCGTGTTATTTGGTACAAGATTTTTGCAGTCTTTCAAAATTATTGGGGGGGTCTTAGGGCCCCCTAGCCTCCCTAATTATGTGCGTATAATGTTGCTACTCTCAAGTTTAAATCTCATTTGCGTGGCGTGGTTATCCATCCTCCGTCCAACGTTTTTAGTCCAGGATAAAATGTTTCGGAAATTCCTTAAAAAAATCCTCAAAAATCTAAATTCCTTAAAAAAATCCTTAAAACTCTTCAAAATTCCTATTTTTAAGGATAATTCCTTAAAAGTGAGAGCACTGATCAAACATCAACATTTTTATTAAAATTTCCGCCATTTTGTTCAGGAAACTTCATGTTATATACAGTTATTGTACTCGTCTAAGTCTCTTAGCAGGGGGGTTACACGCGGTATTACGCAGTTTGTTATCATTCTTCTGAGAAAAATATACAGAAATGAAATAAAATTATAGATATTTTTTCACAATATAAATGCAAAAGGTACTGCATGGTACATGTTTGTAAATAATTAGGAATTAATCTATTATTCTTTATTGCATCAACTTTTGTTTTTTTTTGGCTCATCATGATGTGAAATTGCAAAGGCTGTCACTATATCCATAAAGACTCTCACTTTTCATTGGTAAAGTTGTTTATTTTATTTATTACTGAAACTATGTACACAATTTGAAAAGGCAATTTTCCTGAATACTGTCTACCTGAAATTTTTGTCAACAATAAAGTTTTGAAGGTTTTATCCCTCAGAAGAGATTTCAAAATAAATTTTAACTTTGAAATATTCTAATGGGGTGTTTATATGGAGGTGAGCCAGCCCATGCACCCGAGCTAGCTCTCTTCGCTGAGCTGATTTTATCCCATGTTTACATTAAACCCTTGAGGTGGGCTGTCTTGTCAAAACAAATCACTGGTCTTACCGCTATAAATAGTATAATATAAGTAAATATATTTTTATTTTCCAAGATCTCACCTAGGCAGGCCAGCTCGGTTCCCATTTAAACACAAGATAAATGTTAGTATAAATTACATAGCAATGTTAGATCTCGACAAAGCAAGCTAGCTCGGGTATCTGGGTTGGCTGCCCTCCATATATAAACACCCCCTAAGAAAATAAAGAAATGTTATTTATATCAATAGATTGATGTGAATTATGTATTAATTATTTAATGCCCAGCTGTTATCCAAGATCTAAGGCTTGGAAAAGAGTCTTGGCCAGGCAGGCCAGCCCAAGAGGAAAGAAGGTTTATATAACTAAGGCATATTGGTAGGTAGTGATGCCAGATTACTTTAAATTTCTATTGTCTGCCTGGTCAAATATAAAATATCCCTGAATCTCCAGTAGTTCAGTTGGTAATTAATGGCAGCTCAAATAGGATTAGAGCTTAAGGTGATGATGGATCATGACAATATGGTGTATTTAATATTTTTTTACACATTTAAACCTTGAATGGCTCGATCAATTAATGTTTCTAGGTGGCATGACTTTGAGATTTGCTTGTGTGAATATAGTTTTTTGCTCAGCTGCTTTAATTGTTCCAGCACGCCCATGCTTGCCTCAACAGTCTCACATAAATTGAAAAACCAAGCTAGGCCGGTTGTTATATTGTAGCTGTAATAATTGGGGCTATGTCCTGTGCAGCCACCATTTGCCAATGTAAATACTTAAATAACAATAAAGTAATTAAAAAAGTATAGCTAATCTAGGTTGGGTTAACTCCATATAAACAGACAAAAAGTAGCCTGTCTGTCAGAGAGTGAAAGCCATCTTCCAAAAGTTTTTATTTATAAAGCTCAATGTCCCATAATATAGGAAAAATGTTATTATAATACAAGAAAATGGAACTAATTATGTGCAGATTTATTAAATAGATGAGTTAATTTTATTGAGGTCAACTGCTACTAATAATTTGATGGGCAATGGTCTACAAATAGGTCTAACATTTATTGAACAATATATTGTGCTCCTTATTCATTGTTGACAAAAATTTCAAAGAAAAATTGACTATTCTGGCTATTCACATTGCAAGGCCAAAATTATGTACATAATTTCAGTAATAAATAAAATAAACAACTTTACCAATGACAAGTGAGACTAGCTGTGAGATTCTTTGTGGATATAGTGACAGTCTTTGCAATTTCACATCATGATTAGCCAAAAAAAACAAAAGTTGATGCAATAAAGAATAATAGATTAAATTCCTAATTATTTACAAACGTGTACCAGTACCTTTTGCATTTATATTGTGCAAAAATATCTATATTTTTATTTCATTTCTGTATATTTTTTCTCAGAAGAATGATAACAAACTGCGTAATACCGTGTGCAACCCCCCTGCTAAGAGACTTGGACTAGTACAATAACTGTAAATAACATGAAGTTTCCTGAACAAAATGGCGGAAATTTTAATAAAAAATGTTGATGTTTGATCGTAAAATACAAAAAAACAGCAGGTTTGTGCAAGTTACAACAACTGAATTCGTACTCAGCGTATCAAAATCTATAGATTCATGTAAACTAAAAGTAGACCCCGAATGCGGGCAGCGGAACTGAACGATAGGCGGCCACAGAATACGGCCTAAACGGGCTTGACACAACCGGCCCCAGGCTCGTACACGGGTAAAAATTGATCAGGTTGTTCGGCGTTGTTCAAACAGGAGTGAACAATGTTGTGCTGCACCCCGTGAACAATATTGTTAACAAGTTGTTCAACCATCAGTACTGTTGCAAGTTGTTAACATGATTGTTAACAAGTTGTTCAACAATGTTGATGGTTCAACAACTTGTTAACAATATTGTTCACGGGGTGCAGTACAACATTGTTCGCTCCTGTTTTGAACAACTTGCATCAACATGATGATTTTTACGTGTGTAGTCCACCTGTGATACACTTCATGTAACACATAGTATGTTGGCCTGGTATAAAAACATGGTCGCCATTTCATAGTTTTTCTACAAACTTTTCTTGATTGACTTCATTCAGTTCATTGTTTCTTCGGTTTATACTAAAGAAGTTATGCCACCAAAAAGAGCTAGAGTTTCAGCAGAATGCGCAATTGCAAATATTATGCGATTTATGGAACAATATGACAACAATGACAGTCTCGCAGTGATGATGGTGAAATCACTCAATCAGTGATGTTGAAAATGATTTGGATTGTTTATATGGGGAGACAGGTCAGTTTCAGTTTATGTCTTTTCATATGGTACAGGAATGCCAGCTTGTAAAGAAAAATGGTGGTGTTTATGGACATCTGAGGTTTGCCATATCATAAAAGTATGTCTTTTGAATGTAAAAGACCCAAAAATATCACATCCAAAATGTTTTTTTTATCTCTTTAAATAAAATAACCAAAATGGGAAAAATATTAGTAATATTCACCATTTTTTGACAGGCGGTCGTATTCAATGGGGCCAAAAAACAGCATTTTGGATTTGAATTTTACTTTTTTGTTATTTTTAAGTTAAAGAAAGATAAAACTTACTGAACATAAAACTTATAGGATAATGGCAATTAGTCAACAGAATTGTTGAGCCCTATCAGCACACCCCAGGTCATATCAACATGAATAAACCCCGGTAAGCTTATCGTTTTATGATGTGGTATGAAACATTGAGACCGTTATCTTCATGGGGTACCAAATATTTTCCGACAATTTTGTGGGTGTATGAAATTTTTTTCACAAAATTAAAAATATCGTCCGCCCCGGGCTAGCACTTACTTTATGACCGCTCCCTAAATACTGTAGTTGTTGATTCCATGATCCTAAAAATATACACTGTGGTCTTTCTATTTCCTACAATTATATAAAACACATAGGAAAAACTGCGTACTAAAGCAAATAAGTAACCCTCTGTTGACTGACAATCGTGCTCGAAAAAATATGAATCTTTTAATATGCTGACAGCCCATAAAATGTATATGAATCATAAGCATGAAATATATAATATGTTTGATATTATTAATTATCACCTTCACTGTTCCATTGACACAGTAAATGTGATAAGATCGAATGGATTGATCTAAAAATCAATGATCGAATGCAGTCGTGATGGTCCTTTGTGTCGCATTTTTCGAAGCTGTGGGCACTCTTCCCACCTGAGATGGACTACCTCGAGTGTAACCTACCAGACATCAGTGCTTGCCCATTTTGCAAATATCCTCTCAAGTCAAAAGCTTGTGCCAACGAGGCAGTCATAAGTTTCGAAAAGAAATTGCCATTCATTGAAACGGCGATTTTTCTACTTTCCTTTAGTGCTATATGCCACTGCTGGTAAAATTATAGTCGTGTAGTGACCGATTGCCAGAAAATTTAACTCCAAAATCGAAGTGAAAAAGCCTTTTTTCCCAAATGCCCCAAGCCACTCTTAAATAGTTCCGGATATAAGCTTTCGCTTCACTTCCTTTAAAATCATAACACGTTTTTGACCTATTCGAGAGTGACCTAGCCTGCGTGCAGTCCCAGACTCCGAAAGGAAGTAGGACCTACTTCCTTTGGGAGTCTAGGACTGCCGCAGGCTAAGAGTGACCTTGCATAGGCCGTTTTTTGAATGCGGATAATTTCAAAACTAAGCGATGAAACGCAAATCCGCCAGCAGGAAATTTTTCGAAAATTTTACATTTTATAGGATTTCATTGAAATAAGCCCAATAAAATTAAAAACCAGGCGTCCCCAAGGCTCCATTTACGACCCTAATTTTCGCGTTGACATACGCGTCTAAACCGGAAGTAGTAAAAATGAACGCGTTCTGATTGGCTTAGCGCCAAAAGGTAAACAAATGCTCTGATTGGTCGAGAACATTATTCGCCCTTGTTGGCCCCTGTGAGATGGGCTGAAAAACTATGACAACTCTAATTTAAACACAAGCAGCCCGGCCATCATAAAAGTGGTATGCGGAAATGTAAATAAAAGAAATAATAAAAAGTATCAACATTCATCATATTTTATATAAATAATATTAACTAGTTTTTAATATGTTTGACGACCGGTCATGTGGCGGAAAGCAACGCATCGAACAAACTGTAGGCACAATATTAGTAACAAGTTACTTATTAGTTATTATAATATAATATAAATATGTTTTACTTATATAATGTTGGTATTAATTATTTCGTTTATTTGCATCTCATATAGTTTATAATATTCAAAATATATCGCCGGCATTGAATTTGTATGCAGAGTTGGACTAAATAAACTAAACCAACTAATACGAAATCGGATCAGATATTTACCAGAATTTTGGGCCGGCATCTCAACCGATATAGATAATTGTTGAAGGGATTTGTAGTTTTAGTGTGGCTTGCTATTTATTTTATGTATACTATGAAAAGGAGTACAGTTATTAGCGTGCATTCATAGACTATAGTCAATGACATCTTCGTTTCTGTGCATGTGAAGACTGAAGTAGATATAGAAAGTTTCAAAACTATTTGAAGTCTCGAGCTGCTACTCCTAGTCGCTCGATGAAGGCTTTTGCTTACCGAAATGTGGCTGAAATCAAAGAAAAGATCAAGACTAGAGGCAATATACTGTACACTGTAGTCTACTGACTAATTCCCAGAATTGGATAATATCAACATACCTTTATTAGATGTCGTTCACTTGCTTTGTACTCAATATAGGATAATGATCAAAGCCAGAATATAACAAAATATGTAGGCTACTTGAGTAAACACCGTTTAATAATCCTACACCGGCTATACACGAAAATTTTGCTTCATATAGTGAGTACTATTGAAAATAGCTATACCGCATACGTGTCAGCTCATTTTCATAAAGTTAATACCATAACTGCATGACTTTTTAGACTCAGTCAAAGAAACGATACGCGTCAAACACTGATTTTTACCTCACGCAGAGACACTTTGTCTTTGAATATTTTTGAGCATGGCAAATACAATGGCAACGTTAATGAAGACATGGCATGATCATGAACAAATATGTTCCCTTGGCCTTTGTTGAAGCCATGACTTTAGAACACCGTATTTGTAATGAAATCACTCTTTATTTTCACGTTTATTACAAATGTAGTTTTGTACAGTAAGTTGCTTTCACGAGGAAGTTCAACTAACAACACAACAATCCCATCATGCATTTGTCTCTCAGTATTACGTCATACTAATATTTGGATAACATACAGTTTTATATTGAACTCAACACCCTCACTTGTTATCAGAATATAAACTAATTACCACAACCGAACACGATA